AAATATTTTATTTAAAATATACACCAGTAAATAACTAAGACGCATTCGCTAAAATATTTAACAAAATGCGTTTTAAGGCGCATTTTCAGACTATGTTATCAAAAAAGTCGCAAATTATCAAAAATGTTCTTTGTTCACCAACATTTATTAGCCAAAGAAAAAAATAGAACATCGACAGGAAATAGATGGAAAACAAACTTTCAAGGCCATAAAATTATAACAAAAATATTAACTATAACCACTAAGGCGTATGAGTAATATGTATAAAACAAAAATCATATAAATCAATCATACGTTTAGTAGTCTAATAATTTACAATATGCTTACAAACTCATGTAAAAAAACTCAACCCCCCACCCACATTTAATTTAATACAAATGAACATCATTTCATGTCATATTAAATGAATTTCTTTTTCACGTCATGGCATTTCTTTCACATTTCCTTAGGCCAAAGCAAAAGAAACCTCAAGTTGAGTTTTTGTAACAAATCTAACAAACATTTTCTAGATTTTGTTCCAAATAAGTTATTGGTTTGCTATGTACAAAATTTATTGAATATTTGCCAAAATTGTTTTTATAATTTTATAAATAATATAAATATATGACTATTTTTTTTTATTTTAACATGATAATTGTTTTGTTTGTTACAATTTCATACCTGTTTGTGTAGTCGTATAATTTTTTTAGTTTTGGGGCAAAATAAAGTTTTGGGGAATTTGAACATGCGACACCACATGCTTACCGACTTTCACTTTCAGTTAAAGTTTTTTTTCATCCTATTGTTTTGATTTTGTTTGGGTTCAGTTTTGTTTTCAATTCTTGCCAGATTACGTAGTCCTAAGCATGTGATAAACTTAAAGGAAATTGTTATAAAATAATTGTGCTATGTCTGTAAGGTAAATCAGAGTTTTAAAAGACTGCTGTGTTTATGATTGAAAGTTGATTTAAAAAAACTTTTTAGTTATAACTGAAACATTTTACAACATATTCTGCTGTCTATTCTGTTGGTATATTTTTCCTCATTTTATATCAAACTCATACCTTTTAACTTCTGGCAACTCGTTAGAAACAACAAAAACAAACAGAAACAAACAAACTTTACTCCTCTTTTACGTGTTTGTACTGCGACGATTTCACGTCATTTTAAAAACAAAAAGTTACTGACTCCTTTTTGAATACTATTCCATATTAAATCCATAGTAAGTATTTGTAGTGTGTGACTGACTGTCTCGTGTTGAGCATTTCACACGTGGTCTAGAGTTCAACACAGTTGAACGTGTGTTTTTTACATTTTCCCGTTTCATTCGATTGACGGCTTCTTGACATCATATACAACAAACAACAATGAAAAAACGTGTCATTTGTATTACAAAAAAAAAATAGTTAGTTGTCTTAATTCAAGTGTCTAGAGGTTTTAGACTTAATTGCGTGTTTAAAGTTTAAAAATTTAAAAACAATTTTTAAATGTAAAGCAAAATCTTTAATTTTTTTTTTGCAAATTTATCGATTTGTCTTCTGCTTATTGTTTTAAAACTATTTTAATTAAAAAACAGTTTTTTATTTGAATATAAGAAATAACTTAATACAATAATAGTTTGGGAAAATCCCCGTTTAAAAAAAATAGTTTTCAATTATAAACAGAATGGGCGATACCGATGCGGTAAGTTGAATTAGATTATTTAATTTTAAAGTAAAAAATCTGCACCTGCACTACCAAATCATCAATAGTAACTTAAATTTAATTTATGAAATTTTGTACAATAGTTGAAAAAATTAATAATATATAATAAAGTATATATCTGGGTCTGTATTTTGATAGCAAGATCGAGCCCATGTTTATATCTTAAACAAGTAAGAATGCATAATCGAGCATGGCCGACCATAGGATAGTAGGGGATTAACGTTTCCATTGAAGTTATTTTCATCGTGGTGTTTATAAGTGAATTATTGACCTTCAAGTCATTTACGGAAGGGACCAAAACATTATGAGACCCAATCATTATGCAAATCGAGATTTAGGCCGATTTTTGTAGAGATACTAAAACATTTAACACTAATAATTAGCTCAAGAGCGATATTTAGGTGATACGGTTGTATGGGGATGAGGTGAAATATCAGACCGTTTTCAGCAATTTCAATTCAATTTTTGTCCCTGATCCAAGAAAAAAGTACATATGTGTCAAATTTCACCAAATTAACTTGAAAATTACGACCTGGACATGGACACACTGACGGACGGATTAGACAGACGGACATTGCTAAATCAACTCAGAAAGTAGTTCAGAGCCGATTGGTATTAAGGTGGATGCATGCTGCATATTTTTGGGTGTTACAAACATAAGCACAAACCCATAATACAACCCCACTAAAGTGGTGCAGTGTATAAAAATTATTGAATGCGAACTCAAAACCAGCAATTTGAAAACTGTTACGGAAATATTCTTCTACGCAGTTTTTCTGCCTGAAATTTACGCCATCTATACGGCGATTATAAACATCTATGAATGAAATCTAGAGAGGTGGACCATTTAAATTTACGTAGACAGTTTTGAATTTCGTAATGCTCACAGGTCGAATATATTCATCCAGTTTGCGAACGTGATTGCAATTGTATTCACGCCTTGTCTTTATCAAATTGATGTGGGTTTCTGGACATGAGGGCATTCGGGGAAATCAACTTGCCAACGGATCATTGTTGGACGAAACTGTTTCGTAAAAGAATATTAATATACCGCTGACTGTAGTATCATATATGATAGACGAATAAGCGATCATGTTCTCAAGAACTTTTGGCACTGTATGATTGGACGCATGTTAGATCGTACAATTTACCGACGTAATAGTTATTGCAGAAATTGTTTAAAGGAATAATCGATTGGTTAACACATTGTATGTTACTTAACCTCTTCACAAGAACACAGACTGAGATATATTGGACTCTTATTCCTCTTAGGGAGGAATCGTAATGTGCTAAATGGCCATCGAGTGTTATCGTTAAATTGCAAGAAGAAACATATGTTCGGCAAAAAATTTAAAACTTTGACCCACTGTAAGTTCTTTACCGATCTTGTTGAAAAGTGGCGTCTAAACTAGTATCTAATTGGATCAATATTGGTGCAAATTTCATTCCGATCGAAAGAGATCGGTTTGAAAAGTTGCACTATAATACAAAGTTCCTATCTTGCGGAAAACAAAATTCCAAATAACATTGAATACATATTCAAAGATTGTGATAGATATCGTCCTCTTTCACTTTACAGACAATTCCTATAAGTAAATACCTTGCAATAACTAACTATTAAACTAAAATTACTAAAATAAAAAAAAAAATTTCAATTTGTCAACCGGACATTAAAAAAATAATTGTCGTGTAGACAAATATTTCTATACACATTCATGCAAATCTCTGCAATAAACAAAAAATATTATGCACGAAATATTTAAAATACCAAAATGTCACAATCCTTTCTTTTTACTTTAACATTTGCCGCTTCTTGAAGTTTTTTTAATGTTAAACAATAAATTTTACAAACGGAATTTATTGTAATTCTAATAATTTTATTTTTTTTTTATTTTTATTAGTTTAGTTTTGTGGTTAGTTTTGGGCCACGAAAAAAAGAACTTTGTTAAATCAATAAATGATTGGTAAAAAACAAATAGTTAAATACATACTGTATGTATCTATGTAAAATATAAATATATTTGTAATGAAACCAAGACAAAATAAATAAAAAAAACAGACTCAAATAATTTGGGTCATGTTACAACTGGAAACTGAATTTCATGACAAAAATTCCTTAACTGTAAATGAAACCTCAAAATTTTCATTAATGCACAACTCTAAAAAAGTACAAAGAGACATTGATTTTTTTTATTATCATTAAATGCTAAACAAAACCAACAAAGTTTTTTTAAAAAGTAAAGATTTAGTAGGAATTTTAGTTTTAACTGCACAGCATTAAAGATTGCAATAAAAGACATTTTTACTGCACACAATAATTTTACTTCTGTTGTGTCAATAATATTAAATATTTCATTACTTAGATGAGACCATCTGGTCCACCACGGCCACCATTTCCTGGAGGCATGCCACCCAGGCCAATGGGTCAACCACCTAGGCCGGGAGGCCCACCTATGCAACAAAACGTTAGACCCGGTGGACCACCACCACCCTTACGTACTATGGATAGTCGTGGAAACTTATTAATGGGTCCCGGTGCACCAGGTCCAAGACCTGGTGGTCCTGGCCCACAAAATCCACAAATTCGTCCTCAAAGTGGTAGTGGACAACAAAGTCCACCAGGTCAAGGTGCACCTAGACCCCAAGGTGCTTTTCCATGGCCACCACAGGCGCCAGGGCAACCGCAAACCAATAGGCCACAGAATCCATTTCCCGGTAATCCACAGTCCAGGCCACCCTTCAATCGACCACCGGGACAGCCACCAAATACCCAAACGCAACAACAACAACCACAACAGCAGCAGCAACAACAACCACAACAGTCGCAACAGCATCAACAACAACCTCAAGCAAGACCTCCCTCGCAACAGTCCCTACAACCACCACAGCGTCCCCCCTCATCGCTGTCCAACAATGATGACGATGATGTCATTATGGGTCAAGCTGTAACACCTCTCAAAACCTCTACATATCTCAAAAATGATCCCATGGGCCAATCACTAATCGAAGAAATCGAACCACCTTTCAAAGAAGATTTTGAATCACCTATAACTGCAAAGACCAGTGATTTGTCACTGACTTCTCCTGATTCGTATGCCAATGATACAAGTCTGCAAAAGTCAATAATTGAAGAACCTTCACATTCAGATACAACATCAATAAAACCGAAAAAAATAGAATTGTCTAGTAAGAAATAAAGTTTGTTTTATTAGAATATATAGTCGCTTATATTTTGAAGCCATTTTGAAATATGTTGTATTTTATGGAGAACTAATTTTTGGACCAAAATCTAATGTATTTTTATTCTTTTCTTACAGAAGGTGATAATGACAGCGGTGTTGATGAGTCAACTCAGGAGAAGGTAAGTAAAAATTTTTAGAAAATTAAAAATAGTTATATTTTAGAAAATAAGAGAGATATTACAGAAAATATTAAAGCAATAACCTAAGCATACAAAATGAACTACTTACTAAAGCCTATATTTCTTTAAAATTCAGAGAATTTAAATATATTTCAATTTAAATCCAAGATAGATACGATATGAATTTGTAATATCGGAATATAATATATTAGAAAGTTGATTCATATAGGGCTCAATGGTTCAATAATATGCCTATCACAAAAATATTTCAAACATAAATTTTTAAGCTTGAATCTTCAGAATTTAATAGAAAGTGTTCAAACAAGTAAGAATTTATAGTCGGGCATTGCCGACCATATGACTCCCTACACCAGTGATTATGTTAAAAATGCTGATTATTTTTTTAATAATATTTAAATTTTATTTTTACCTTAATTCAGAAATATTTTAACAATGTGTTGACAAAAGATGGATTTTCTAAAAGAGGGGTTAAACGGGCGCAGGGGGTTAATATGGTCCCATCTTTATAATTTTAGTAGAGGAATTTACGTCTACATTAGTTATTTATGCAGAATATTATCGTGATATTAGTGTTTATAAGTGAATTTTGACCATCAAGTTATTTGCTGAAGGGGATTTTATATGGAGGATAGGGTCAAATAAGGCCCAATCATTACGAAAATCATCAGTATCTTTAAGACTTATATAAAACTAAGTTTTGGCGATTTTTGAAGTGATACAAGAACATTTAACATATTAATGAGCTCAAAAGCCCTATTCTGAGGGTACGGTTGTATGGGGGCTATACGAAATAATGAACCGATTCGTCGATAATGAACCCCACTATAGTGGTGTAGGGTATAAAAATTAAATTTGTACTAAACTTCATCCGGAATATAAAATGTTTAACAACAGGATAGATGTATAACTTCTAAACTATAGCGTTGCGGATCTTTCTCTCTCACATAACTTCTGCAAATCTATATATACACTAGGATGGATTTTTAAAAATTAAAGTTTTCTACACTGGATATTATAAAGGATATATATAAGAATTAAACACAGAAAGAATGAGCTCAATACCTCTCATAGTTTTACCGTACCTGCGATGTGAAATAGAAGGATTTCGGGAAAAAGGCAGTTTTTGCCATTAACTAAGTAAAAATTATATTATTACCAATTGTTGCTCAATTTTGATCAAGTAAATTGCGATTATTATTTCCGAGTCCATGGAAAGTTAGTTCTGATCAAATTTCCGAAACTAAAAATCAAATGGAAGAAGAGAAAAGCCTATTTTCGACCCACCCTATATATAAACCCATTGTCATAATTATTTAGACATACTGAAAATTTAAGTATGCAAAAAACTTAGTCCCAAGACCATTTTAAGTTGCAGCAAAAATAAAACACCACTAAAAAATACTATTGAGAAAATACAATTCAAACCTAATCTCTTAATCCTTAGTATTGGGCACACATTTTAAAACAATACTAAAACATAGACGAAACAATTAAGTGTTTGTACTGCGTTGTGCCTAGATCTTCTGGAAAGATAAAATATATCAGCTTTTTTCCAAATGTGACAAAAATGAATGGTTTGGGTTGGCACCACCCATATGAAGATAATTTTTAAGTTGTATATCCAAAAAAATATAACAGCTAGTATCCACTTTAGTATCATTATGAATTATGATACTGGGCGGACTAATAATAAGGGGCGTGACAACTCCTTCATGAATTAAATATAAAAATTCTTATATCTAAAAACCAACAGTGCTAGAATTCTCAACTTTTGCGCGGGTAACATTAAATTCCATATGAACAATTGGAGGAAAATGGCCGGACTAGCAATGGGGAGCGTGGAACCTCCCTAATGAATTAAAGATAAAATTTCGTATATCAGGGAAACCATTGGAGCTAGAATCCTCAAATTTTACACGAAAAAATTTGACTTCCATGTAAACATTTGGGTAATAAATTTGTTCAGCAATAGAAAATAATCTGAATTAACTCGTATATCTAGGAAACCGTTAGAGCTAGAATACTCAAAACTTTGTCGGAGCCAACTTAATCTTGATCTAAATATTTAAGACAGAAATGGGTGGACAAGCAATAGGAGGCGTGGTACCTCCTATATGAATTAAATACAAGAAGTAGGAAAGTATAGTCGGGCATGGCCGACCATATAATACCCTACACCATGAGTATATTTTAAAAATTTTTATTTTTCATAATGAAACTTTTATGTTGAATTTTACCTTAATTCCAAAGTATTTAAGCAATTTATTGATAAAAAATACATTTTCTAAATGAAGCTTTATATAGGAGTATAGGTCAAACATGGGCCGATTCTCATTAAATTTGGGAAAAGAATATATTTTTAAATAACAGTTAGTTTCAGTGCGATACAAATGGTTAAAGTCAATTTTAGAATTTTAAGATATTTTTTGAAAGGGGGTTTATATGGGGGCTAGGGTTAAATAAGGGCCGATCATTACAAAAATCTGCGGTGTCATTTATACTTATATAAAACTTATTTGTGCCTATTTTTAGAGAGATAATAGTATATTTGACGTAATTATGGCATAAAAAGCCCAAATCGGGAGGTACGGTTGGGGCTAGGTGAAATAATGGACCGATTTCAACCATTTTCAACAGGCAAAAAAATTGCGGCCTGTACCTTGCGCACAAGATTTGCATGGACAGCCAGCCGGACAGACGGTCGGACATGTTTTAATCGACTCAAAAAGTGATTCTGAATTGATGGGTAAGGTTGGTGTAGGACCAATATTTTTATGTGTTACAAACATCAGCACAAACGTATAATACCCTCCCCACTATACTGGTGTAGGGTATAAAAAATCGTATAACTAAGAATCTATTAAAGCTTGAATCCTCACATTTTGCACTAACAACTTTGAAATCCATTTAAACTTTTGGAAATGGACGAACTAGAAATAGAGGGCGTGGCACCCCCATATGAATTAAGTATATATATATGGGAAACTATTAGAGCTAGAATCCTCAAATTTTGCATGAACAACTTTGAAATCTATGTGAACATATAGGTAATATATTGCCGGATAAAAAATAAGGGGCGTGACACCTACCATACGAATTAAATACAAAAATTCATATATCTGGGAAATCCTCAAATTTGGCACGAGCAACATTGAGATACATATATATGGGCATTACATTTCTCATATGAAATTAATACTAAGACGAATATAATTTTTTTAATCATATTGTTTAAAGGGTAGCGAATCAAATTGGGTATAGCTAATGTGATATATATTAATGTTGATCATATTTTTACTAAAATACATATTCTCATATTACTTGAAATGTAAGCAAATTTAAATCGAATGATCACAAACAGTATTCCCTCCTAAAGATTCGCAAATTACTTCCACTTTTTAATTTGTATCGATAGCTTTAACAAAGCGATACTCATTAAATTTAATTACTTAGTGATTTAAAATAAGATCAAATAAGGTATTTTTAAAATATATAAAATAAAACTGGAACTTACCCAAATAATAAATGATGTAATAGCCAAAATATATGTTCCATAAAATCTCGTAAATTGACAATTTTTAAGTACAACAAATAAAATGCTGAAATAGAAAGAAGGGAAAAAAACAATTAATTTTCAAAAATTACAAAACTACTTCCAAAAAAGTAATCAAAAAGACCTACGCAAACTACTTAATTTATAACAAATTAAATAACTAGACAAATTTCATTATTTGACAATTAAGTTCAACAAATGAAAAATAAAATGAAACAATAAAAACTACCAAATATAAGAAAATTTAAAAAACAAAATGCAATAATAATAACAACAACTAAAAAGCGTTACGCTTTATTAAACATTTTATAAATAAGAAAGAAAATCATTTTTATGAGGTTTCAATAAACCCAAAGAAAAACTCTTGTTTACAGAACGTTTTAGACTAGCAGGCGTAAACGGTGTCTCAAGAATACATTTTAAAATTGTAACGGAAAAGTAGTGAAAATAAAAAATTCAAAAAAAAAAAAAAAAAAATACAATTTATATATCAACAACTAAAAATTTGTATAAAACAGGTGTTTTCTTTTTAAACTAAATCAACATACTCCAAATGTGTTTATAGAAATTTGTAAACGCGATAATAAATTTTTACCTTGTCAATATTACATTTCAACAAAAAAAAAAAAAAAATATATAATAAAATTATTGTAACAGAAAGTAAAACTAAAGTTATAACAAATTTTCACTGACATACTCGTCCTAGTAAGAATTATATACATATAATATATACAAAAGATAAAGAAGGTATACATATATTGAAATATGAAATATGTTAAACAATAAATTTAGTTTTTTCTTTCAAACTATGTAATTACACTCAAAAATTTTAGCTAGAGAAAAACAAATAGATTTATGCCCGAATTCAGAAAGAAGAAAAGAAAACTATTTTTAAAATTTTGTATGAAAACTACTCAGTTTTTGTTGGTGTTATTCATACAAAATTTTAAATATTGTTTTACATTCCTCTTTCTGAATACGGGCCTTAAACTATTTTAAATGAATTCAGAAGTCACACTACTAATTTGGTAGTTACGGTTTCGATTCCTGCCGATGTCTCTATTCTATTTAACTACAGTGAGATTGTGTCCTTTGTAATTGATTGAAGTACTAAAATTACTCCTTTATTTAGATTTGATTAAGGATTATTAAAGTGATTTTCTTAGGTGTGCCTTATTTGGGAGCATGCAGTGTTTCAAGCTCTTTAAGACCAAAAACGGCTAAATTAATTACAAAAAATTATAGAAAATTTAGTAAATGTTTGTCTTCTCAAGTGAAAATCGAGAATACATTAAAACAAGATGCCATGCAATGTTGTCGTTTATTTGATGACAATTCGTGTTGTGTTTTTGAGGAAAGACGATCCTGTTATATGTTTGAATTTTAATGGTCCACTCCTCTATATTTGAAATGGAAGAAATTTAACATTTTTTCAATTTTTATGTATAAAATCGATTATGACACCCACAAACAAAATTGTATATACTGATGTGGTTATTCCGTTTATAGGTAGTATAATAACAAAAGTTTATATTCACGATTCTAAGATGATCTAGCTAAATCTGTCTGTTGAAACACGATAGGGTCCGAACGAAAAGAGCTAGGCGGCCACAAATATTGTCCATAGATAAAGTTTGTTTGGTAAATAAAATGGGTACACTATTTACTCTAGCTCTCATACAAGTTACCTCCCAGAGTACCGCTTAAATACATATCCAGATCCCAGATATTATATCGTAGACAAGCGGAACATTATAGCAGTATTGAAGACCCAGAAACAGAAATATACTATCGTTTACCAATAACGACAGCCCTTTTGGCGATATCAGTGATATAATTATAACCGAATACTATCCCAGAAGTAAGGTTTACGTCATATGGGTATCAGGCCCCTCGGGGGTAGTCGGTAACGAAAGAGCGAACTTACTAGCTTTAAAGGGAAGGGTTAACCTAACAAACACAAAACCATTCAACGCAACGAGGGCATAATTAACAATTGAGAGTGTTATATTCGGCTGTGTCGAATCTCATATACCCACCATCAAACCGTATGCCTTAACAAGACTGCTCCTCTTTAAACATGAAATTAACTGAAGAGGACCTTATATGAGAGATAATTTTTTAGGCTAATCACTTCCCGACACTTATATGGGTGTCAATCATATGCAGATTCTCATAAATGTCAGCAGAGAGGTTCTGGCTCGTAAGATACTTACTTATGTCGAATTATCATCTATATACTCGCAGTAATGAGCATTAAATTATTATGAAGGGGATTTTATAGGGGTGTAAGGTCAATTATAGACCGATCCACATAAAACTCGGGTAAGAGATTTTGGTTCGCAAGGAACTTACGTAGGTCTAATTTCATCGCTTTACTTGTATTTTTAAGCCAGTAATGAACGTTTAAGTAATTTATTGAAGGGGACCTTATATGTGGGTAGGGTCAATTATGGACCGATCCACATAAAATTTGGTAGGGAGATTTTGGATCATATGAAACTTATATGTGTTGAATTTCATCACTATACTCGTATTTTTAAGCCAGTAATGAGCGTTAAAGTCATTTTCTGAAGGGGACCTTATATGGGGGATAGGGTCAATTATGAACCGATCAACATAAAATTTGGTATAGAAGTTTTGGATCATAAAAGACTTACTTATGTCGAATTTATATAGTTATACTAGTATTAAAAAAGCCAGTAATGAGCGTTAAAGTCATTTTCTGAAGGGGACCTTATATGGGGGATAGGGTCAATTATGAACCGATCAACATAAAATTTGGTATAGAAGTTTTGGATCATAAAAGACTTACTTATGTCGAATTTCATAGTTATACTAGTATTAAAAAAGCCAGTAATGAGCGTTAAAGTCATTTTCTGAAGGGGACCTTATATGAGGGGTAGGGTCAATTATGGACCGATCCTCATAAAATTTGGTAGAGAGATTTTGGATCATAAGAGACTTACTTATGTTAAATTAAATTAAAAATTCATAGTTGTACTAGTATTTTTAAGCCAGTAATGAGCGTTAAAGTCATTTTCTCAATGAGACCTTATATGGAGGGTAGGGTCAATTATGGACCGATCCTCATAAAATTTGGTAGGGAGATTTTGGATCACATGAAACTTATTTATGTCGAATTTCATAGCTATACTCGTAATTTTAAACGTGGACCGATATTGCACATTTTCAATACCAAACAAACCTAACCTATAGAGAATATTTGTGGAAAATTTCACTCCTCTACCTCGTTTCGTTCGGACTCTATCGTGCTTTCAACAGACAGACAGACGGAAAGACGGACGGACAGACATGGCTAGATCGTCTTAGAATTTAATAAGTACCCAGAATATATATACTTTTGTGGGTCTATGACCAATATTTCGATGTGTTACAAACGGAATGACAAAATCAATATACCCCCCATATTTTTTGATGGTGGGTATAAAAATACGGATGAGAGAATCCCATAAGACCTCTTGAAACAATAAAATGGTGGGTAGAACCACAAAGATACTATGGGATGACCCTAACGAGAGCAGGACGAGAAGTCTCCTCAAAATGAGCAAGTCTGGGATTAGTAGGATAGTATGTATTCTGAGTGGACAAACAGGACTACGGGCATAGCTATGCAAAATTGGACGTTCGGATTCAGACAAATGTAGATCATTAAAGAGGGCAGTGAAACTCTGGAGAACTTTCTTTGCCATTGCAGGCTTTCGACGAAAATAGATCCAAATATCTTGGGCGTGATATTACTTCGAATATAATGGAGACAAAACTACAGTTGAACATACATAATGGTATACGATTGTTGGAATCGTGAAGACAGTATATTGCATATATAAGTACTTTAAAATATTTCGATCCTTGTATAACAAAAGTCGAGAAAAGAACTGAAAGCCACCATTTGGAAGAGTATGACATACATTTAAATTAAACGTTAACTGGTTTGCCTTCAAAAACCAATCCTTTACTAACTTTTTTTTTGAGTGTAATATTAACTTTTTTTGAATATTCATAAACTTGTATACTATTAAAACTATTTATGAATAGTTTGTATAATTCATTTCCTTTCTTTTTTTTTGTATTGTCATATCTAAATGAAGGAGTCATACTTTCGTTTTTGTTTATTCTTCAACACAGTTTCTAGATAAATGTAATTTATCAACGAGTTTTTTTTTTTTTTGTATTTTCTAAAACAACTACAACCATTAAAATAACAATAAAAAAAGTAAGGAAGAAGAAAAAAAATAAAAATATATACAAAACAACATGTAAAATCATACACATACATGCAACACCATCGATAAAACAACATGAAAACTTAAATATTTCGTCCTTTATAGCGAAAATTTATTTCAGTCAACAAAATCAAGTCAAGAAATTTGTCAGAACTTGGCAAAGAGTGAAAGACATCACTGTTTAGTTTTCACTAGTCGACAACGAAATTTGCTGTAATTTAAACAAATTATAATAAAACGAAATAATTTGTTTAATTATTATATAATTGTATACTTGGAAGATAACAAGAGGAATTGGGAATAACTTTTATATTATCATGCATTTAATTATAACGGCTGATACTAACTTTTTATTTGTAATTTAAAAAATGGATTACAAAAAATTATTTGATAGATAAAATTTTATTGGAATTTATTTTCTTTTATATTATAGGAACGCAACGGACCTGGTTCGCCTAGTTCACCAGCTAAGACACCAACTTCGGTATCATCGAAACCAGAAAAGTCAGCTACTACTTCACGACCACCAAGTACTACGCCATCTAATAAATCTTCGAAATCACGTAGTACTTCACGTAATCGTTTGCTACTTGCTAAAACTCCTGAACCGGAACCAGTTAAAAAAGGTGAGTTTAAAAGAGACAATTATAATACAATCGGATATGAATTTCTATTAGAGGTCAGTTTTGATTTCAAAAAAATTTTGATTTTTCAAATTCTTCAAGCAGGATTTCAGAAAAGACAATTTTAAATTAAAAGTGAGATTTTATAAAATAGAAGTTCCAATTTGTAATGAGAAGATTTTCAGGATCGAAAAAATTTGTTTAAAATAACTTTGATACATTTTACTTTAACAATTTTTTAATAAAATTGTTTATTTTCTTTTATTTCTAGTTCCAATGAATAAAATTCAAGTTGGACACGCTCCTTCACCTAATTTGAAGGCCGTACGCTCCAAAATTGGATCACTCGATAATGCCAGCTATAAGCCAGGTGGTGGCAATGTTAAAATCGAATCAAAGAAAATTGAAATTAAAGCCGCTCCAAGAATTGAAGCTAAAAATGATAAATATACACCAAAAGGCGGCGAGAAAAAGGTATGTGTGTAAGGGCTATCAAGGAATTAATAGGTTCTCAACAAATGTGGGGCAGATTATAAATATAATGATGATAATGATAAAACTTTCTAGTAGAAAATAATAAAGAGGACGTTAAGCATTCAAAAAAATAAATTTTTAATAACTTTCTTTACATTTAATTTATATTTTCAATTATATTACATTAAAATAATTCTAATTGAATTTTTACAATTTCAATTACATACTTGTAAATGCTTTTTTTTTCTATTACACTATTACTTCTAACTGTTAAGTAATTAATGATACTTAAATTACAAGTAATTGTAATTAGTAAATGTCAATTACAATTAGAAGTAACTTGCTTTTCCGCAACTTTTAATTTAGATTTTCAATTACATTACATTAAAAGTAGTTGTAATTGAAGTTTTAACTACATAAATTACTTGTAATTGCGATTATTTTCTATTGAAGTATTATTATTTACTATTACTTGATTAATGATTTAAATTACAAGTAATTGTAATTAGTATACATATTTCAATTACAATTAAAAGTAACTTGCTTTTTCGCAATGTTTAATTTAGATTTTCAATTACATTACATTAAAAGTAGTTGTAATTGATTTTTTAACCATATAAATTATTTGTAATTGTGCATTTTTCTATTGAAGTATCATTATTTACTATTATTTGTAATTATAAAGTAATTAATGATATTTAAATTACAATTACAAGTAATCGTAATTAATATTATTTCAATTCCAATTAGAAGTAACTTGCTTTTAAAATGTTAAATACCTAATATGAAAAAAAGCTTTGAAAAAGAGTTATTAAAAGTTAATTTTTTTTTAAATCTCATCAATAGTTTAGAAAATCATTATTTTTATGATCGCCCCCTGAAATTATCATCATTATCATATTAAGTATTTCGACTACACCATTTGAAATTGATAATCAATTAAAATTAAAATAGAAATTTCTAACTTATTTGTTAGATTTCAGTTTTAAATGGTGTAGTTATAATAAATTCCCTACGGTCACATAGGGCAAATATTTAATGAAATAAACGTATATATTTAAGTAGTTTAAATAAACCATAATATTGTTCGCGATTGCCTAGTTATCGAATTATCAGGTTATACAATTAAAACGAACTTTAGTCTATCGAAAACATATGTATTGGTGAATTACTCAGGCAAAAAAATTTTTAACCCAGAGACCAAAGTATACTTTTCTAAAGGATGAAACATCGCTGAATCCGAATTTCGAATTCAGAAATTATCCATCACATCAGGTTTTCCAGATATCGTGTCATCAAGTTTGAAAGACTCTGTAACAGCTCAAAGATTCCTTAACTATTTGTTATGTCATCTGAAAGTCCAATTTTTTCTTCAAGATTTTATAAATAAAGCTGTCTTCGCTCGGATAAAGTGTCTCAAATATGACAAATTTTATTTTTAACTTCATGACGCCGATATCTGTGGCCAAATTCAGATTTAGCGCTGCTTAATACTTTAGGATAATATATCTCTGGATTTTGAATTTTTTAAAATTTTGTTTGTCTTTCTGAGGTTCTGAAATCGGGAGCTAAAGCTAAATTAAAAATATTAAGATTTTGAAATTATTTTCAAAACTTTTAGTTTTGAAATTGGAAAATGTATAAAATTGGTAAGAAAAAGTAACTTCAACCGCTTTTATCATCAAGTTGAAATTATCGAAAAATATTTAGAAATTTACATTTTTTTAAGCAAATAATTTTTTGTCCGTCTGTCCAGATGGATTACCATGTAAAGCTTGTGCGCAAGTTACAGGTTCCAATTTTTAAGAAAATTTTATGAAATTGGGCAAATACGTTTTTTCGGTTAAGGTTGAAAATGGTTGAAATCGGTGTATTATTTCATCTAGTTGAATTTCAACTGAATCCCCCAAATAGGGCTAGTACTTCGATACTGTCGAATTTCCTAATAAACACGCCTCATTTGACCCTAGTACCCATAAAAATGTAATTCAGCATAAATAAATTTTATGGTAGCATAAATCTATTCACCAAATGTTATGAGGATCGGTTCATATTTTTCCCTTTAGCGGGACCAAGATAAAATAAATAAAAAATAAATAAATAAAACATTATATTACAATCATAACCGGTTTAGGATATGATATGGCCTCGCTCGAATAACTGGTTCTACATATATTTGTTGATATAACTTTTTATCTGTATAACCCGATAACCAGGCAACCGTGAATAACCTTAATGTTTTATTTTTCATTCTTTTTATTTCATTAAGTAATCAATACCGTTAACAATTACATACTAATTTGTTTGTAATTAATTTTTTTTACATTACTTTCAAATTACCTCTTTACAAATTTTTGTTAAAGTAATTGTAATTGATAGTTCTTCAATTAAAAGTATGTATTTGTATTTGGTAATTTTGAAATTACAAGTAATTGTAATTAATAATACTCCAAATACAATTATCTGTATTTTTTTAAAGTATTCGGTTGAATCGAATAAGATGAAAGATTCAATAAATAATAAAATTCTTAAGAAGTACTTAACAAATTTTTTGCTGGGATATAATGTGACCGTAGTTTAAGTATTTTTTCTACAAAAGTATAATTACTTAACAAATTTTTTGCTGGGATATAATGTGACCGTAGTTTAAGTATTTTTTCTACAAAAGTATAATATGACTTGAAATATTTTATGATTTTTGTTTAAAGCACTTTTAAACATCAAAAAGTAGTTTGTACCAAGAATTTGTCAAGAGTATTTTTGAAATTAATGAACAGACAAACAAAAGCACTTTATGTATTTAGACAAAGACAAATTTATGATTTTCTTTTATGTAGGTTTAGTTTTTTTTTTCAAATTTATAATTTTTAATTTCACGGTTGATTAAATATTGAGACAACTCACTAGTACGAGTAGCAGTACATATGTTTTTCAAAACACTTTTAGTTGTTTTATTTAAAAAAATTCTCTTTTTTTTCGCTTTATAACATTAAATAAGAAAATTCATATATAAAATTGTGTATTTTTATTACTAAGGAGTGACTTTTTCATGTAAATGACATTGATTTCTTTTAAGGAATTGAAAGAGATTATCTATATACATATAATTTTATTTAGATTAAGTTTAGATTATAAAATTAAAAAAAAAGTCTAACTAAATATTTATGACGTATTTATTATGACCAACAAACTTGAGTTCAGAAAAAAGCATTCGGGAATTACAACTACAAATTTCATCAATCTATTTACATATTTGAAATAAATTCTAAAATTCATAAACATACAAAAATACAACATTTCAGTGATATCCAACAACTTATGTTCAAGCTCATCAATTCCGTTTTAAAATTTATTTAAAATAACCATATATGACTTTTAATTACTTTCGGATAATTTAGATAATTTCAACAAAATTACAATGGAATGCCAAATCGAAAATTGGTTCCTTAGAAAATGCCAGCCATAAGCCAGGCGGTGGTGATAAGAAAATTGAAACAATTAAAACTGATTTCAAGGATAAGGCTAAACCAAAAGTCGGTTCAAAAGATAATGTCAAACATCAACCCGGTGGTGGTGACATCAAGGTGAGTTTTATGTAAAAAGCAAGACATTTATGTTATGTTTGGAAAATCTTAAATTGGTAAAAATTTTAAGAAAAAACCGAAAAATCTATATTACATATATAATAGAAAAGGTATTTTATTATGGGTTTAAGTCTTAAGTAAAGCATGCATTTTAAATTATTTATGGTATTGTATTTTTATTGATATTGATATTTTTTAATTTAGGTCTTACAGCATGTTATTTATATTATTTTTTTTATTTTTAAGGTTATTTTTTAAAGAAAGGCATGTATTTTATTTTGTGATTAATTAATCCACTTAGACAAAATGCATGTAATTTTCTACGTATTTTATTTTATTATTAATTTATGTTTATTGATTTTTAATTATTTCCCTTGCAAAATTTGAATTGGCAGTCATTTCATCTGAAACCATTTTATACCAGTTATTTTCCTGTCTTTACTTATGATGAAGAAATTCTAAATTGAAATAAATATTAGAGCTGTTTCGACTAATTTCGTTTGTGAATGTCAATATTATTATATAAAATATTAAAATAAGTTTTATAACTTCTAGCAAGTATATATTTCTGCATAATAATTACAACGGCAGATATTCTCTTTAGATCTAAAGCTATCGGGCGCACCCCTCAGGCAGTTCATGTATTTCATGAGCCTTACAAAATTTTTGTGAATAATGTTGTTATAAAACCCTTTTTATAACCATGTTGGGAATTGTATGAGTATTAGAAAATTTTGAAAAAAATTACCCAGATCAGTTCAGTTATGGGCCGAATTGCATTTGTATATGCTGAAGAGTCTAGATTTACATATGGTTCCATTTTCACCAAACTGTATTTAGAAAGTGTTGCGGAGGAAAAATAGTTTTCGTCAATACAAATACATAATAATCCTGATGTGGGTATAAGAAATACTGATAAAGTCTGTCTCGGCTCTTTTCCAATTGGCAATTTTTGCAGAAAAAAATTTTAAAAGAATCTGTAAAAATAAAAAAGCACCGTTTATTAAATTGGATACAAGAACCCCCATAACCCCCATATATATACAGGGGCCATTGCGGACACTTTCAGGAAAGAACTCCATTTATTGAATATGGTGGGCGTATAACTCAAAAAGGGGGGATTTTTTGGTTTTGTCTTCAATAACATTTATTCCCGAATTTTGTGCCAATCAAGCGTCAAATGCGGAAATTTTGCTGCACTTCTTGGATTTGAAAAAAGTGCCGCGTAAGCACACCGATAGTTCACCGAAGCTTATAGTAAATGTATTTTTTCGCTTTTAATTTTCGATTTTGACACTATAGATAAATATTGCCCATGCAAGAGAAAAGGTTAAGAATTGGAGGCATTACTTCCTGAAGATACCTGCTAAAAATGATTATATTATTATTTATTACTGGTATACACACAGGGAAAAAGAAATATACACGCCTGGTACCAAATTGACACCAAACTGTTTATAATTTTTCAATAACATCCGTTGTTAAAGTATATACATACGTACATGACAAATACGTGACAAACAATCCGTTACCAATGAGCTTACCACGTTTGTTAACATTTGTGAGTGAGCTTACCACGTTTGTTAACATTTAGACAACGGATGTGTATACAATTTAGAATTCGACAACGAATTGTTGCAATGTTGACAACGTTGCGACATAGTGTTTTCGTACGTATGTATATACTTTGACCACAGTTGTTATTGAAAAATTATAAACTCTTTGGTGTCAATTTGGTATTAGGCGTGTTTTCCCTCTGTGTACCCTGGGTGGTCCGCTAACCTAACCAAAATTAAATGCATACAAAATATACCAATAGCTTATTTTGTGTGAGTAAATTAACTATTTTTTCAAACATTTTCACCCCTTAAAAGTACGAATTTCAAAAAAAGTACCAGACACCCATCTGCTTATTTTAAGAGTAGATACAGGCACAGTATTATAGGTGCATTTAAAATATACATAACCAAAAATGCATCTACTATCATAATTTTATAATTCTAGGTTCAGCCGTTTGGGCTGTGCGATGATGAATCAGCCATTCAGTAACGCGACCCTTTTATATATATATAGATTACTAAGTATTTGTTTCGATCGTAGCAGAACTGTGATGTCGTATCATTGTATGTCATAAAAATTTTTCAAATAAAATTTTTTGGAAAAAAACTATAGTAAAAAAAAATATGCAAGAAATAGGAAAGAAGAAGGAAAAAATTGAATTAATTAAAATCAAAATCTCTAACCCCTTCATTTCTAGGTCAAATTATGGAATTTTAAGAATCTTTATACTCAAACTTCAAAAAAAATATTCTCTAAATATAAGTTTCTAAAACATAATGATTTCCACTCTTATATGCGGATTACCAGGAATCTGTTATATTATTGAACTTTTATTGGGATTATTTTGGCCTTTTCTCTACTTTTTCACTTCTAATCAATATAAAACGTAAAATGAAACTTTCTTAATGTAAGAGGAAGCTTTATGCGTTAAAGCTAATGTTGCTAAGAATATAATATATATGTATGTATGTAAAAGTGTTTATGGACTTAGTCTAAGTCTATTTTTTACAGTTTCTACCAAACTCCAGGACTACATATTAATGTTGTATACATATTTATCACACAATTTAAAGGAAATTGTTGTTTTAAATGAGTACCTATTACAACCATTAAAAATATGTTTGAATTTTTGTTTTAAATAATAATTATTCTAATACTTAATAACCATACAAATACATTTACTATACTATTGTAAATAATATTATCCATACTTATATGTAATTCACAGCAAGAGTTGTATTTAAATACCTATCGTTGTATAACTTTATCTTACAACTAGACAACAATACGACACTGCTTGTGAATTGAATACTACTATATACTATTTATCATTATTCATTAAGTCTCTTCATTATGTCTACAAAATTTCTAAACACTATTTATGTATTTAAAACTAAAAAAATGATTTTGTTGTTATGAATGAAATTTTGTTTATTTATTTATATTTTCTTATTCCTTTTTCTAATTTAAAAAAAAAAAAACTAAAAACTGCTGTTAATAAACAATTCAATTTAACCAATTGTTTAAACACGCCATATTTATTTAATTAATACAATTAATTATGAAAAAAAAAAAAACAAAAATAAAAATTAAGGAGTCTAAAGAGCCTGAACCACCAGTTAAGGATGTAAGTAGTTTTAGAGAAGAAAACACTAACTCAATTTTTATTTTGCTTTGTATTGTTTTCATGTTTGTAGCAATTAAATATTTTACTTGAGACAACTAAAATTGCAACTTTTGTACTGAAAAAAAAAAAAAAATTAATTTAATTACACCAAAATTCACTGTTCGTTTTTTTCAATTATTTGTAACATATTTACTACTATTTTAGTTTCTATTAAGTTGAGTTTTGTTGATTTGTATGGAAAATTTGAAAAAGTAATAAAGTTTTTTAATTCGAAAAACTAAAAACTTTAAGTTGTATGTTGTATTTGCGATAAAAAAGAAGTATTAAAAAGTAAGCACAAAAGCTGTAAGTTGGTTTGAAAAAAAACTTTTAAATATGATTTTTAGTTACAAAAGAAATTATTTTCAATTTCGATTAATCTGTATATAAAAATTTAGTTTTAACTATAGTTTTCTTTCTGTCCAAATTTGTTTTTCGTTACATTTTGTTTTTGTGTTGTTTTGTTTAAGAAAATGCCTTTTATCGTTATATTATGTCCATAAAAATTATTTCCCGGTAATTGAAAAATTTCAGATTCAAACACAAAAACTTGAAATTAAGGCACAAAGTAAAGTTGGTTCTTTGGACAATGTTAAGCACAAGCCTGGTGGCGGTGAAAAGAAAATCTTTGACGATAAGGATTATTTGAAAAATATTGAACATGGTGTACCCTTAACCACACCACCAGCTCAGGTAAAATTCTATAAATTCCCTTCCACGTTTTTTTTTCCTAAAATATTCAGAAAAAAAAATTGTTACAATTTTTTAGTTGAGTTAAAAATCTACAAATTCCCACCATTGTTTTGAGTAGTTCTTTTTTAGTTGTTTTACATTTTTATGTTTTTTTTATTGTTTTATAATTTGCTTTGAAAATCTTTTAGAATTTTGTTATGATTTGTTTCGTTAATTTTTATTTAAAACAAAATGTTTTGTTTTTGTTTTGGAAAATAAATTTTTATTATTGAAAAAATTTGCAATCAAAATCATGTTTAATTTCTAATTAAAGTTTATATATGATATTTTTGTAATCAATTAAACAAATCTGAGATATTGTGTTTTTACAAGACGGAATAATATCTCTTAATTGTTAAGAAAACTGTTCTGATTTCTCAATGTCTTCTAATTATGAACAAAACTCAGAGGATCTTTCTTTCGCAATGATATTTTCTCTTCTAGCAAACACAAGATTCTGTTCCCAAATTCATATCATTACAAAATCAAATTAAATCTAAAACTAATTGAATTCAACTTTCAAATCTTAATTTTTCATTAAAGAAATTTTTTCAATATTAAATTTTTATTTTTTTAATAAATTAGACACAACGTTTTTTTTTTTTCGTTTACAAATTCAAGAAAGCACTGCACTATGTATTAGAAAAATCTACAAAAAGAAAAAAAAAAAATACGATTTTTGCACTTGTATCGTAAAAATGCTTTAGTAATCATTAAATCAAACTGATCTGTAACATTATGAATTTCAATACAACTCTACTAACACCTTAATAATAGTTTATAAAATGCTAAAAATTCTATCATTCGCTCATTTGCATAAATTAATTACTAAAAAATAAATAAGTATTATTAATTAAAAAAGAAAACATAAATAAACTACATACACAAAATAAAACACTTTCATACACTAGACAACAAAATAATATTTTTATTATGTAAAAAATATTTTAACATTTTCATATTAAAAATTATGCGGAAAAAATTGTGTTGTATAAAAGTTAAAAAGAACTAATTAAGCCAGAAATTAATTGCACCTAATTTTTATAAATGTAATTGTAATATCTAAGTATATAGAAAAGTTGATTGATTTTAAATAGAGATCTATATAGAATTTTACACTAACAGCCTCCGATATTAACAGGATAATAATCTATAACATCAAAACAGTTGAAAAAAATCAGGAAATCAGAACGACTCCCTTAAAATTTATATAAAATACGAATAGTTGAGAATATGTTCAGTTGAGTACATCAGTTTATACCGACTTTCTTTTCATTTCGGCTAAGATTCGGGTACGAAAAAACCTAAGCATACAAAACAGCGTATGTTTTTAAATAAGAAATAATTATGATTTCATAGTCGGACAGAAGAAAATTGAAAGCGATTTGCAGAAGTTGGTCTTTTATGGACTTTCATGGATTAGTGTATTGACTAATCTATGGACCAGTCTATTGATTGGTCAATTAACTTGTCTTAATAGACTTAGTCTATTAACTTGTTAATGGATTACTCTACAAGCTAGTCTATGGACTAGATTAGTCCATTAACTGGTCTATTAACCAGTCTATGGAATACTCTATTGACTGGTTTATTCAATAATTTATGGATTGGTATATTGACTTGTAAATGCATTACTCTACTGGCAAGTCTCTGGACTAGACTAATCCACTAATCTATGGACTAGACTAGTCTACTAATCTATGGACTAGACTAGCCCACTAATCCATGGACTAGACTAGTCCAATAATCTATGGACTAGACTAGTGCACTAATTTATGGACTAGACTAGTCCACTAATCTATGGACTAGACTAGTCCACTAATCTATGGACTAGACTAATCCAATAATTTATGGACTCGATATTGACTAGGTCTATTACCTAGTCTAATCTAGTCTTGTAAAATGATTACTCTACTAGCTAGCCTATGGACTAAACCACTAACTAGGCTATTAAGTTGTTTACGGACTAGTCTATTGACTAGTCTATTAACTAATCTATGGACTGGTCTATTAACTAGTATGTGGACTATTCTATGCGCAATTCTATCGACTAGTCTATTAACAACGCTATTGACTACTCCATTAACTAGTCTATTGAGTGATCTATTAACAAGTCTTATGACTAATCTAAGGACTCGTCTAGTGACTGGTCTATTAACTAAGAAGTCTATGGACTACACTATTGACTGGTCAATTAACTAGTCTATTATACAATCTATGGACTAGTCTATTGACTTGTAAATGGATTACTCTACTGGCTAATATATGGATTATTAACTATTCTATGGACAAGACTGGTCCACTAATCTATGGACTAGACAGGTCTATTACTAGTCTTTTGAATACTCTAGTGAATACTATATATATATATGGTTTATTAACTAGTATATTGAATAATCTTTGGACTATTCTATGGACTATTCTATTGACTGGTCTATTAACTAGTCTATTCAATAACGTATGGAGTAATCCGTTGACTTGTAAATGGATTACTCTACTGGCTAGTCTATGGACTGTTAAATAATCTATAAACTAGACTAGTTCATTAACCTATGGACTAGATTTCTGACTGGTCTTTTATCAAGGTCTAGTCTATAGACTTGTAAATGGATTACTCTACTGGCTAGTCTCTAGTGTAGACTAGTCCACTAACTAGTCTATTAAATATTCTATGGACTAGTCTATTGATTAGCTTATGGACTAGTCTATTGAACTAGTCTATTTACTTGTTAAGGTACTGGCTAGTCTGGTACATATTTGTATTACTTTTTAGGTATAAGTAAAAATATCATTCTCTACGTCCAAAATTAGCTAAAACAGATGAAGTTGTAAAACTTCTTAAAATTTATAGTTTTTAAAAATATCGGAGATTTTATTTACAATAATTTTAAGTTTGTCTTAGTTTATTAATAGTTTTATTATTGTTTCAGTATAATTTAAATTTTATGTTTTTAATAATGTTTCTTTCATTTTATAGAATTTTTAACATTACTAAAAGTATAGACTCTTTCCCTTAAAAAAAATAATATTTACTTATATTATTTGCTAACAAAAAAGTATTTAAAAAATACAGCTAAATACCAATATTTGTTCTTAATTTGTTTTTCTTCTTCTTTTCTTCCCATTTTTTTCTTTTACACAAAATACGAAATAAATTTTAAAAATCCAAAAAAAAAAATAACTGTGTAGCTTTCACAAGGGCGTTTAATAGCCACCATACATCTTGAATTCGGTCTATGTAATAAAGATTGTGTGTGTACTGAAATCTTTAAATCGCTTTTTAAATAGATTTAGAAACAACTACAAAAAAAAAATTAATGCATTTTTTTAAATAAAACACACACCTCTAGCCAAGCCAAAGACAAAATCCCTAAAGGCCAAAATTTAAATTCAATTAAAAAATTAATTGATTAGAAACAATAAATCCAATTAAATCAACTCCCATCACTTTTGAGTACATTTTGAAAAAATCGTACCTTTTTTAAGTTAAACTAATTTAATTAATGCTTAAAACAAAAACTAAATTTTAAATAATTATAAAAGAAAACATATTTACAATTATTTATGTGTATATTCTTAAAATCTATATAGTGAAATCCTATTTATATATATTTACAAAAACTGATTTAACAAAAAAATAATAATAATGAAAAGATTTCAACATTAAATTTTATTTGTTGAATTTATTCGAAATTTTATTGAACTGTTGTAAAATACTAAATGAAAAAATAAAACAAACACTAAACTCAAAACTAAATTATATTTAGATAATATTTCAAATTTTATCTACAAATTTTGTATTGTACGCCAAATTTCATAGACAATATACAAAACATAAATATATTATTTCCAATTCTATACATTTTATATTTTATGTATTTTTCTATTTTATTCTTTAATTGTAGTTTCTATAATTTAATATTTAATTAACAATTAATTTATTCCTAATTAAGCTTGATTAAAATGTGCTCAATCATAAATGTTTGTACTAAACAAAAATTATTACAACCCTGCATTTTTGCATTTTGTGCCTTTATTTCAAAATATTTGTAAATAATTATTTTTACTTTTTTAATTTCAATTGAAATTCATTTGACTTATTCACAATATTTTTTATTAAAATTTTTTATTCTCAGTGTATAAAACACAAGGATTTTAGTATTACTTTTCACAAAATTTAATGATAATCAGTTAATAATTCGCGGTTGAACTAAACATGGCATCAGGGTACGAACATGAATAATTTAAGGGCTATTGACTAACTATGCACTAATCCACTGACTAGCCTAGGACTAATCTATTGGGTACTGAATGGACTAGTCTATTGATTATCCTATATACTAGTTTATTTATCGACTATTCTATTATTTAATCTATGAACTAGTATGCTTGCCAATGGACTAGTTAGTTGTCTACTCTATGGACTATTGTATAGTAAATGGATTAATATATTGACTGGTCTATGGACTAGTCCATTGACTAGTCTATGGATTAATCCGCTGTCTACTGTATGGATTACCTACAGACGAATTCTATGGACAAGTTATTGACTATACTATGGACTAGTCCATTGGCTAGAAACTAGTCTATTGACTAGCCTATGGACTAGGCTATTGACTAGCCTGTGGACTAGGATATTGGCTAGCCTATGGACCATACTACTGACTAGCCTACGAACTAGTCTATTGCCTAGCCTATGGGCTAATCTATTGACTAGCCTATGGACTAGTCTATTGACTAGCCTATGGACTAGTCTATTGACTAGCCTATGGACTATATAGTTTGACTAGTCTATGGACGTCTATAGACTAGCTTATGGACTGTGCTATTGACTAGCCTATGAACTAGTCTATTGACTATCTTCTTATTGACTAATCTATTGACTAGCCTATGGACTATGCTAATGACTAGCCTGTGGGCTATGCTATTGACTAGCCTATGGACTAGTCTATTGACTAGCCTATGGACTAGTCTATTGACTAGCCTATGGACTAGTGTATTGACTAGCCTATGGACTAGTCTATTGAATAGCCTATGAACTAGTCTATTGACTAGCCTATGGACTAGGCTATTGACTAGCCTATAGACTAGTCTATTGACTAACCTATGGACTAGTATATTGACTAGCCTATGGACTAGTCTATTGACTAGCCTATGGACTAGTCTATTGACTAGCCTATTGATTGTACTATTGACTAGCATGTGGACTAGCCTATGGACTATGTTATTGACTAGCCTATGAACTAGTCTATTAACTAGCCTGTGGACTAGGCTATGGACTGTGTTATTAACTAACTTATGGACTAATCTATTGCCTATCCTATGAACTAGTCTATTGCCTTGTCTATGGACTAGTCGATTGACTAGCCTATGGACTAGTCTATTGACTAGCCTATGGACAAGTCTATTGACTAGCCTATGAACTAGTCTATTGACTAGCCTATGGACTAGGCTATTGGCTATCCTATGGACTAGGCTATTGACTAGCCTATGGACTAGTCTATTGACTAACCTATGGACTAGTGTATTGACTAGCTTATGGACTAGTCTATTTACTAGCATATGGATTAGCCTATGGACTAGTCTATTGACTAGCCTATGGACTAGTCTATTGACTAGCCTATGGACTAGTCTATTGACTAGCCTATGGACTAGTCTATTGACTAGCCTATGGACTAGTCTATTGACTAGCCTATGGACTACTCTATTGACTAGCCTATGGACTAGTCTATTGACTACTCTATTGACAGTCCTATGGATTGTGCTATTGACTAGCCTGTGGACTATGCTATTGACTAGCCTATGCACTACTCTATTGACAAGCCTATGGATTATGCTATTGACTAGCCTATGGACTAGTTTATTGACTAGCCTATGGACTATGCTATTGACTGATCTATGGACTAGGCTTTGGACTAGCCTATAGACTTGTCTATTGACTAGACTATGGACTAGTCTATTGACTAGTCTTTTTACTGATCTATTGACTAGTCCATTGGCTAGTCGATTGCCTAGTCTATGGACTAGTTCATGAACGAGTCTAAAGGTATAACAAACAGCTATCAGAATTATTAAAAATCGATTAGTAAAGGGAAATTTCTCAGAATTATTCCCAGGGCCTTCGTTTTTAACATTTCATCCTTCCCATAACTTATGGAACTGAAAATTTAAATTAAATGCCAAAAATGTATAAAACTGAAAATGCATGTTTAAAATATTTGTGATAAGTAAAACTATAAATCACTCAAACTTCTCTTTATAAAGCCTTAACATAAGCAATTTCTTAAATGCTCAAATCATATACATAAACCTACATTATTTTATAATACCTATTTATCAGTTATTTAGTTTTATTTATAATTTTTCTTTTCAACATTCTTTTCATTTCTGTAGGAAGAATATTTATATAAATTTTATTAGGATTTAAGAAAAAAAAAAACAATTTAAGTGCATTATTAAAAACAAACTATTTATTATAAAACGTCCTCAAGAAAAAACAAATTTCTTATAAAACAAGAAAACTTTATATATAAAAAATAAAACATATTTATCATGTTATCAAAAGAAAAAGTAAGTTATTTAAGAATTTATTTTCTAAATTGGTTTCATTTCTCTAACATTTTTATGTATATCATCTAATTGTGCTGTGAAAAAAAACACATTAATAACCAACCTTAATGAGAAGAATTTTGATTTAAAAACTAAATATCAAAAAAAAAAAAAAAAATCTAGCGAGTTATTGAGTCATTTAATTTAAAACTAAACCTACACAAATTTAATTTCTCAAAAACTTGTTAGATTTGTATTAAAGAACATTAAGTACGATGAAAGACTAAAAATTTAGGACTTTAAAAATTCTTAAATATTACCTTAAATTGCATTTAATGTTCCTAAGGTCAATCAATATACAGTTAATGACAAAAGTTTTCGGACAAAATTAATTTAATCAATGCCTCTCTTTCGATTCTATTTATTTATAGCTGGTTCATTTATTAATTGATTTAATTGGTTTTAGATTTCTGAAGACGTTGAGAAATTAGAACCGAAATAGTTCTGTTTTGGTTTAAAAACTTTTTTGTCCATTCATTAAAATTTTTATATATTCTTAAATGTATTTTATGAATAGTTGTTTAAACTAAGTTCTTTACAAATTCGGAATACATCAATGTTTTGAGAAGGTTTACTTTACAGGCCACATATCCCAGTGTTATTTGGTGTACTGATTCTGAATATGGAAATAAAAAAGTCGTATCACCCACCAATTTTCCGCATTATCATCTTATAGTCCTTCTGACTGTATACTTGAGTCCCAAATATAAAATTTTGTAATTTTACAGAAGTTGCAACCATCTCTGCCTCTAGACTTATACTTTAAGTTATAGAAATAGATTCTGGAAAAATTAAGCGCGATAGTGCCACGTTATCTGGTAGCACCACGGCTCTGAAGGGGAAAACGATTTTTAATACAATTAATTAGAATATGTATGAAATTATCATTCCAATAAGATATAAAACTCAAAAATCTATTAAAAATTGTAAAAGTTATTACAAATTCCTCCGATCCTTTAGTGTCAAAAAACACTTATCTGAGAAATATTTAAAAAAATAATAAATTTTAGGTAATATTCTAATTAAACCGTGTCATTACATTAAATATATTCGTATTAACTTAAATGTGATAACGTAAACCGTATTTAGGGTACAGTCATAAATGGAAAACCCTACACGGCAGTATCAAAACTCCAGTTTCAAACATTTACAAATTTTGTTAAACTAATTTTAAAATTGTGGGAAAATATATGGTGACTTTTGGACAATAAAGAAGGAAATGAAATAGTAAAGAAATTAGGTCGATATCTCTCACATATTAGCGGTACCTGCGAATTGAATTTGTAGAATTACGGAGAAAACTATTTTTTGTTAAAATTTTTGGGAAACGGGTTTTATTCTTTACTGTTACCCATTTTATATAAAACCTTTTCAATTTATACAATTTAAGATAATATTAAACATATATCTGAAGTTTAAGTAAAATCGATTAATGTTAACCCATAAGCTGTGAAGGTCAAATGAAACTTGGGAAAAATATATAATGAAAACCCGTATTTACAAAATAAACCCTTAAACGTAAATATATGTTTATAATTATATAAAATGTCCGTAATATATGAACAAAATATTCGTTGTTCTTTTGCGATAAAATTATGGGTGATAGAGAAAAACATATATCAGATTCGGTTTCAGCAGCCAAAATACCTTAAAATCAATCGAATCGAATTGGTTTCAAAATTTTTTAATCAATTAATCTATTTACCAATCTATGAACTAGTCCATTAAATAATATATGAAGTCATTTTTGGACTAACGTATGGACTATACTATGAACTAGTTTATTGACTAACTTATGGGTCTATTGACTAATTCATGGACTAATCTATTAACTAATCAATGGACTAGTCTATTAAACAGTCTACGAACTAAAATATGGAATAGTTTAGACTATGGTCTATAGACTGGTCCTTTGAATACTTTATGGACTAGTCTACTGACCAGTTAGTTATATAATCTGTGTTGTAGTCTAATCTATTGACTAATCTATGGACTAGTCTACATATTGACTAATCTATGAACTAGTCTATTGACAAATTTAAGAAGTTTATGAACTATTTTATGGACTAGTCTATTGACTAATCTATGACTATGGAATTAGTCTATTGACTAGAGTATGGACTAGTTTATCGACCAATTAGTGGACTCGTCTATTGACCCGTCTGTGAATTAATCTATGTAGATTAGTCCATAGACTAATATATAGTATAATTTATTAATTAACGTATAAACTAGTCTAAGAAATAGTATAGTCTATAGAATATTCTATAGTCTATGGATTACATAAAAATTAGAGCTATGTCTCACTTTAAGAGGTGTTCTAAAATAATTATACGAAAACTTTTGTCTAACACTGTATGTTGAACTTAATTTTAATGACAAATATATGTATTAAAGAAACATTTTTAGTTTTTTTTTGTATAATTGCTGCGCTCCCTTTGTTTAAATTGTGTCTGTGTGCTGTGCTAAATAAAATTTAAAAACTGGTATTTTGAAAAAAATGGTTCTTAGTTTCTTTTCTGTTATTTTATTATTTTTATTATAATTTCTAATTTATTTTATTTTTGTTATATTTTATTATAATTTTAATTTTATATGTGTGTTTTATTTATTAATGTTCGAATTCCCTGGTTTTTGAGTTAAATTTTATATGTTTTTTTTTTTATTTCTTTAATAATTTTATTTCCCTTTTTATTTTTGTTGAAAGGAAAGCCTAAATAATATTTTTTTATTTAAACTAGTTTTTAATAAATTTTGAATTTTTATTTTATTTCAACACACAGAGTCCACAACCACCAGCATCCATGACGACTTCAACAACTGGTGCCGATGAAAATTTAAATCAGCATACATAAATTTGTTAAAATTTAAAATTATTTAAAAAAAGCAAAAAAAAAATATTTTGACCAAAAATATAAAAAACAAAATTATATTGGAAAATATTTTTAAAAAACAAGAAATTGTTATTGAAAAATATTTATCATCTTCATATAAAAACAAACTACCCACATTAAAAAACCAACAACAAAAGATATTATCTATATATTCAACAGTTAAAAAAATTATATTAAAAAAAATATAAACATATACATTAAAAAAAAAATAAACAAAATTAAAAACATAACACACTTTACACTTCAAAAAAACTAAAATGGCAATAATTAAGAAAATTTTTGTTTTTTCAATAATTCTTATTTAATGCTTTAAAAATTATTGTATTATTAAAAAAATTTAATTAATTTGTAGTAATTTTTATAAATATTTTACTTTGCCTTAAATAGTTAAAATTATTTCTTAGTTTCTGTATTAAATAACACCTTTGTATATTATTTTTATTATTTTCTTTTTAAAATAAAACAAATAATAAACTACATATTAAAAATTTAAAAAACCAAAATGGACCGTTATTAGTAGAGCAACTTAGAAACCACCATTAAAGTTTTAAAAGAAAAACATCAAACCAAAAAAATACAATAAAACTACTGCATTATCACAGGGTTTCTGTTTAATTATTTGTTAAAGTTTTTGTTTTTTATTTACCCACAAATATTAAGGGAAACCCTAGTAAAATTTTTTTATTCTAAAACTTATACGAAAATACATACATATTTACCCGTTTATAACAAAAAAAAGTTTATACGTATTTAAAATAAAAATATGAAATATAAAAAAATATTTATATTAAAAAAAAGGTAATAAAAAAAAATAAATAAAAGAATAATTAAAAAAATATATATATTATAGAAAAAAAAACAAAAAAAAAACTATTTACAACATAAATGTGCTTCAAAAATGTCTTTATGAAATTAAAAAAAAATCTAAAATATTTTTTTATTATTTAAAATTACCCAGTCCATGTTTTTCACTAATAAAACTTCCTAAAGTTTTAACTTATGTCAAAATCTTTATATTTCAAATCGATTGATTATGTTTATTAGTTGCCACAACTAATTTTTGTAACAGCAACTAAATATTATAACAAAGTTAACACCAGGTCGGGAAGTTTACCGTACCCAGCAGTTCGACAAAGAGTCAATGCATACGAAAAAGACAGTAATTTCCACTAATAGTTAACCACCTGGATGATCGTAATTCGTATGTTTTGGGTCATTCGTCACGAATGTACCCTTTGTAATCGAGAATGAAGACAGTCGTCACTTTAGTGTCCTCTTTGTAAGCGGGAGCGGAGACAGTCGTCTCTTTACTGTCCTCAAGTAACCTAGAGATTATACTCTTAAGTTGTTTTTTTTTTTTTTGTTGTACTTCCGAAAGTAGCTATTTTACCCATCTTTTGGAGAAATGATTGTTATTTTCTACTAATGTGGCACCATCTGGTCATTCATATAAATAAATTGAAATATTTTTTGTATTAAAACCTTTAGTTTAAATAGGACCCTTTCGATTGTTTATATAATACGTACTTTTTACAGAATACAGTCCACATATAATATTTCTTAAACTCTAGGTATTGCAGACGATGAAATATCCATTTTTGTCTTTGTAGACAAATTTGTAGAAAACACGATTTCGATTTAAGAGTTCGGAGATTTCAGTTTTCCATATGAAGATATGGGTTGACTGTGATTTCCGAAATACACAATCAATGTTTACATTTGAAATGAAAATGCCAGAATAATTCAGAAATTCCTTCTAGGAGAATCGAATTTGATAATCAAAGAGTTTAGTTAAACATATTTATCAAATGAACATTTGAATTTTGAAAATTCTGCTGTACAGCATCATGTTCAAAAATTGCAGAGGCTAACACAATTTTAACCTAGAGACCAAAGTAGACCTTTCTAAAGGATAGAGCTGCGCTGAATTTCTCCATCACATCAAGTTTTTGAGACATATTGTCCTTAGATTCTAAAGAGATTCTATTCGAGATTTTCAGACTTTACAAAATTTGTTTTGTCATCTAAATAGACAAGGTCCAAAAAGGTCGACTTTAAAATAAAGGTTTAATCTCTGTTATATCTCCTTTCTTCTTTGAGATATTTTACCCTAGACCATAAAACTACCATTGAGTAACAAAAAATGATTTTTTAACTACTCAGCCAAAAAAATAACTTCCAAAGAAGCGAGCAAGAAGTATTATTTACTCCATGGAAGTACTGAAAAAGACCCGTAGAAGTTAAAATTTTAACAGAGGCTTGTCATAGGAGGGATGTTTTTTCTATTTGATTCCAAATTCACTACTTCTGAAGTCATTCTCAAGAAGTAATTTTTACTTTGTTAACTCATAAAAATTCCAGAACAAAGAAAATATATCATAGTTTAGAAAAAAAAGAATTATTATCTTTGAAAGTCATTCCACAGAAGCTGAATAATTCACTTAGAGCTACTTTTGAAGTATGCGAAGCTTTTTTAAGCCTATTTTTCGGAACAAGGTAGGTAGAATGCAATGTTTATAGAATCAGGGCACTGGAAATATTGATTTTTCAGATATTCATGATCTGAATGGAGTAAGATCGGGGATATAGATTTCAATTTCGAGAGATTTCTATTTAATAGAAATAGAACTGAATTTCTATCGTATAAGGGATTATGTCATTGTTAATGGAATTAAAATGAAATTTTTAAATCGAAATATAAAGGGGTCGAATGAATTACCCCTCACGTAATCGATGAAAATGTATCGATTTCTTTTTTTCAGTTAATGGCATTTCTTAAGGTATAAGAAATCTAACACAATCATATTTGGTCCAACCTTTTTTACAATATTTTTCGTTGTTCGAATCTTACGATGTAATAAAAAAGGACCATTTCATGACTAACTCCAGAATATTTGGTGGAATCATAATTTAAACTTCATATTATAATATGTTCGGAAAAAAACTCTTTGATTTTGAAAATCTAATCAGATTCTAATATTGAATATATTCTGAATTATGGTAAAGCTAAGAAATGCGGTTAGGAATCATTATGACTTATGTATGTATGACCTGCGACTATTTGGAGCTTCTTTAGTATATGCATAATTTCAAAATAGTGTTCCAAGACTTGAGAAATTAAGAAATTAAAATTATCCAATATTAGGTTATGTATAGAAAAACCCTAAATTAAAAAAGTCGATTTATGAAAATTCTAAAAATAAATAATCAAAGAAAACATTAAAACTGGATAATTGTTAAAAAAAAATTAAAGCACATTTTGTTTATTTCTAAACGAAAAATAATTTACTAAAAAAAACTTTTTCTTTTAAATAAAAATTAACTGTTGAATTCAAAATTAGTAATAATTTTGTTTAAAAATATGACAACGCAAAAATATAAATATTTAGTCTGGTAATTGTGTTTTGTTTTTTTGTTAAAATTTTTGTTTAATTTTTCGTCAAAATTTCACCCTAATTTAAGAATAACAAAAAATTTGTAAGACATTGATGGTAAACAAAAATAATAATAATAAATGGAAATAAAGATTTTTTCAGTATGTCTACATTAACAAATAAAAAATAGCACTTTTATTTATTTTTATATCAAGAAAAAAAATTAAGAGTTAAAAATAAACATTTCTTAATTTTAAAGTTATTTTTTAGAAAATTTCAACAAATACCTACATTTTTATACTAAAAACTATTAAAGCAAATATTATTAAACAATATTTTAAATAGCAGTTAATAAAATAAATTAGTTTACTTTAAGCGGTGTTAAAGTAGTTTAATTAATTTTTTAAACTGCTTATTAAAATTTGTTTTTCTTTTTAGAATTTTAATAATTTCTTAGTATTTTTTTTCGTTTAAATATTTTTTTCTTTTCATTTCTGTTTACACTGTAAAAAAAAAGCTTTAAAGTAAAAAACAAACACTTTTTTAAAAAATTTAGCTAATGTAGTAATCAACAGTAAAATGAATAGTTTTTTTTCCAAGTACCAAACCACAGCTGAGAGCAAACACTACTTACTTAATTACAAAAGGCTTAAAACAAAAATTTGGTTTTAATTTATTGGTAAAATAATGAGAATAAACTCCCCAACCACTAATGCAAAGTAATGCAACATCTAGTAAGTTTACACTTTTTTTTTAAATAAATTTTAATTTATGGATTTTTTTAGTTTAAAAGTTTTCTGAAATAATATTTAATTGTTTTTTTTATATATATATTTTACCTTATTTAATAGCAATTTTGGAAGGCACCTAAAATCCAGAGATCCACTACTTTATCAACATCCATGTCATTGCCAGCCGAATGTTTGGTCTTGTCCGTATCTATGCCATCGTTGAGCAATGATCGCAAGAGATCTAAGAGTGCGGGACCCAAAAAGAAAAAGGGCCAAGCTACACATCCAAAACCCTTCCGTTTATATTAGGAACATTTATAATTTTAAATAAATTTAATAATTTATTCCCAAAGTTAAAAGAAAGTTTAAATATTTCCCATTAAAAAAAAGAACTTCAAAAGAAGCGAAAAAGAAGTACCCAGCAAAAAAAGTACTTCCAAAGAAGCAAAAAAGAAGTAGAATTTACTCTATGGAAGTACTGGAAAACACCTACAGAAGTGATGATTTTAACAAGGGCTTGTCATAGGAGGGATGTAATTTTTTATTTGATTCCAAATTCACTACTTCTGAAGTCATTTTCAAGAAGTAATTTGTATGTTCTTTGGGACTGAAATTGTAGTATTATAGAATACAACTAATTTGACTTAGAGAAGAAGTAAGAAGGAAAAAAAATATATCTTAGGCATTGAAAAAATATAATTATTATCGCTTCTTCGGAAGTCATTAAACTTCATTTCCACAGAAGGTAAAAAATTCACTTAGTGCTACTTTTGAAGTGGAGATAAATGTTATTCTTTTGGAAGTACTTTGTTTTATTTTTGCAATATCAATCTCCAATTAAATTGTATAATGATTCATTATGAATAACTTTCGCCATATTTAAGTAGAGTTCTCTCTTATTCGATCATTTTTAAATACTTAAAGTAATTTTAAACTTAACTTTATAACTTGGGAATAAGTTGTAAAAATTTCTTACGAACTTAAAAAAATAAAATTAACTAATATCCATTGTAATATTGTTGAAATTTTAAACAAAAGAACAAAAAAAAAAAAAAAAAAAACTTAAATAAATTGTAATGAAAACAACTTTTCACAAATTTCGTTAGAAAATTTAAAAAAAAAAGAAATTTATGATTAAAGTTTGTTTGAAAAAAGAAAATCATTAAATTAAACACATTTTTCACAACAATAAAACATACATACACTTTACATTAAATAATTAAAATTAAAATATGTTATTGTAATAAAAGCATTTAATAAAAATTATATATAAAAAAAATTTAATAATTTCAGATTATTTATTAATTGTTTTAAAATAGAACTCATGTAAGTATGTAAATCATTTTGTATAGTTTAATTGTTTTTGATTTATTATTTATTTATTTTTCTTTTGTTTTTTATATATAAAAAAATCTTTAAATTTAATAAAACTAAAATTATTTAATATGTGTGTTATTTTTAATGTTTCTTTTCTTTGTGTTTATTTAAATTTCTCTTTCATTTTAGTATTAAATATAAATAATTTAAAAAAAGTTTTCTTTTATACTCGATTATATAACTTACAATTAATTTATTAAAAATATTAAAAAAAGCGCCATTGTATATAAAATTAAGGTAGATTGAGGGCAGAACATAGCATTATTTTTACTCTCGTATCTTGTTAAGAAATTTCAATAAGACAAAACAGTGAGAGACAAAACAATGGAAACTATTTATGAATATTTAGTTCATAAATCATATATGTAATTGTTTTTAGGAGTTCTACAACACATCCATATAGCTAGTATTCGTTCTAGTTTACAACTATTTAAAAAAAAAAATTGCAAAGCACAAGTTCAAAATTCTATAGAATTCGAATAGGCCCAGTGTCATTCCAATACTTTATTGAGAAATTTTTACATTATAATCGATAGGCAACCATTTAACAAGCGGATCATTTCAATCTACATATTTCTGCACACCAAATAAACCAACCAGTTTTGCTAATGATTTGATAGCCCCTTTACTTCCTCAGCTCACGCCACTGCAATCACGCACAAATTGCGAAGTAGAAACAAGGTCCTCAAAGCGCTAGCCGGCAGCACTTGGGGTATGGATAAAGAAACCTTGTTAGCTACATATAAAACGATTGGTCGGTCAGTGGTTAATTATGCTGTTCCAGTGTGGTCACCTTCGCTCAGTGATACCCACTGTAGAAACATTCCAGTGCCAAAGCTGCCCTAAGGTCTGTAAAGGGCTGCTTACAAATTACCTCGAAACATCACCTGCACGAGGAAACGAAAATCCTCCCAGTCAATGAACACAATGTCATGTTGGCTAAACAGTTCCTCCTGGGATGTCATCGGAGGAGTCATTCCAACTTTAACATCACACAGTTGGATGCTCCCCCGAGGCATGTCAGGAAGGATCTTCGTATATACGAGGAAAACATATATATATACGGCAGCTATGAACGACATTCATAGAGACGTCATAGTTCTGGCACAACTAAGATCGGGATGGAGCAAGAGGCTCAATGCCTACTGGTCACGTATAGACCGTGCCGTCACCAACGAATGTCCTACATGTGGTCAGGGTCATCATGACACCCAGAACATATTCAATTGCCAACCAACCCTACTTCACTCCGTCCAATGGATTTATGGACGCATCCAGTTAAGGTAGCCCAATTTTTAGGCCTGGACATTGATGTAGAAGCAACCAACTAGATTATTGTATAGTTTTAGCTGTTACAACAACAACAACTAATGATCCTCTTTTTAAATCGACGTTTCCACCACAAATGGATCTTCACTCCGGAACGACCCAATGAATTCATACTCGGCAAAAGATTTCAATCCAGCGAAATCTGTATCAACTGAAAGATTTTTCTCCAAGAAAAGAATTATCGGCCACAGACGAACTGTTACAAAAACCACAACTAATGATCATGAGGATGTGTAATTAATGGAATGGATTTCCCTTCCATGACCACTTTCTTTCTTTGTTTTTTTTTTTTTTTTTTTTGGAGGGAAACTCTCACTCATCTAATCTTTCTCTTTTCTTCTGTCTTAT